TACTTTTATTGTAAGTGAAAGTAAAATATCAGAAAGTTACACTCCTTAATCTGGAAGCCTAAGCCAATACTTCTCTATTGCTGCTGGAGTTACATCCAGCTATCAAAAAGAAAGCAGTAACTTAGGTAAATACATTTTGTTTATACCTTATGGGAGGAATTATTGGTTCAAAGATAATACGTTATTAAATCCTAATACATATCATCACTATAACATTCTATTCTTCATAAAATATTAACTATATATTTTATTTATATTTAAGTAGCATATAGACCATCTTATATGCTATTAATATTTTTTCTCCTTAACCAAACTTCTACTATTCTTTTTTATAATTGGTGATCATGCCTAAAATGTTTTTTTTATTTTTTATTTTTTCATCTTTCTAAATTTTTTCTAATGATATACTGTATCTGCTTTTGATAGCAGATTAATATATATTATCATATACTTTATATTTTATTAATTTTGTATATAATATATTACATTTATTTTGTTTAATTAATAAAGATTTGAGAAAAATCTCACTTAGCATTTAAAAAAAAAATTAATAAAAAAATATTTTTTTTTCTGCCTCTAATTAGACTACAATCACTGTGTTTATTAATCTTTAAATATAAATAAAACAATAATACATGGGATTCTAAGGTTTTATATTAGAGCTAAACTATGCCTATTGCAGAATACTCATCAACAAGTTATTTTTAGATTTGTATGTAATCCTTGAATCCTTAATACCAAGATCACTGTGTTGCCTATATGATTTAGCTATTTACTAACTATTTTATTACAAGGGAGTTAGTTCATTAAGTTATTACTGTGTAATATTAACTATCTTAGACTTTTCAAATCTTAACTCTCTAAGTGTGATCGTGGAAAATGATAAAATCGCTTCTTTTCTAAGACCGCTCCTTGGCCTTAAGAAAAATCATTGCCAGCCTACATTCAGACTGTCACCTCAACACGAACTTGTGGTCCTAAGAGATATAAAAAATTCTATTTTTAAGAAAAAAAAAGTGAAGTAAAAAGGTAAATGAAAAGTTTGTTCTGGTAAATAAAAACTCTCCAATATCAATTTTGGTCTATTAGAATAAATTATTTACCATCATTTGCAGCTGGACGAATCATTTAATTTCCACCATTCTCTTGCTAACCAAGAACATTCAAAATACTTATTACAAGATTGACATACTGCTTGAAACCAGTCTTACATCCCTTGGGAAAATTATTGCTTGAGACAAGACTTACACTAATGCTTGCTACCTTCTTGGAATAATCAACAACAGAAGAAGCCTCTTACTGGATTAAAATGAGACTTCTTTTGATCTTGGAAAGAAAAGAAACCAGTTCAAGAAGAGAGGTTAAATATCTATAACGCTTCTTGACAAAAAGGATGCCTCATCACCTTGCTCCTTTCACTGTATCCAATTGTATTATCAGGTTTTATGTTGTATGAGATAGGGCATATGGGAGTTACGTGTCTTGTTTATATTTCTTGCTACGTGTAGATCAACCAGTCCAAAATTCGAGCCAATCACCATTCAAAAATCCCGGTGTAACCAAAAATTCAGGGTCAGACTGAGGTAGACAAAATTCCCCAGAAAAACCAGAAAAAAGTTTACATGCTTAAAAAGATAGGAGAAAGCTTGAGGAAGATGAGAAAAGAGTTCCAAAAACTGTGCCAGTCTTTTCTAAAATCTTGAATTTCTGAAAGAAAAGAAGGGTATATTTTTTCTACAGGTTCTTTTTCCTAGCAAAGTTTTTTTGCCTTTAACTTTGTAGGTAGATATTTCTTATATTTATTCACAAAAATATAGGAAGTTTATGTCAAAGAAAGAAAGAAACAAGTGAGGAAGACTATTGTCTTTTGGTATGAGTGTTGTTAATGAAAGTGTATAGACTTTATTACAAGGAAATATAAAATTTTCTTGAAATGTTTATTTTTTTGTGTTGGCAAAAAAATCAGCAGAAAGAGTTTTTTGTTAATTAATAAAAAAAATATATTTTATAATATATACAAAAACAAATAATAATTATAATAATAATAAATAAAAAAAACTTAATAATCAATAACAATACAGCTTGTAGGTCTGTAGTATAGTGATTAACACTTTACAGATCAAATTCCAAGATACCAGTTCAACCCCATGTGAAAGTAATTGAATAAAATTAATATGGTATCTGGTGCCATAATCTATATAAGTGCTGTTTCTCATGAGAAACTGTTTCACATGTTGATCCAACAGATATTGAGATTGTGATTTTCAGAAAAGGTGTCATGGCGTGATAATCATCTGGTTGGTGTTATGATAATTACCAGAAGTTATAAAGTATATGATATACATGTGGTATAAATTAGTTGCTGTTGACTCAATTCCTAAAATCCTCAAAAATAATTGCGTCATGACTCAATTATTTATATGTTTTAATAGTAACTCAATTAATTGTGTCAATTGTGTCAAGGATCTACGAATTTCAGCAATATGTATAGTGTATGAGGTATCTGCTTTCAGTAAAAAGATAGCTTGATGATCATTTCTCTTGTAATATCTGGTATCTCTTCCTACAAATTTTTAAAAAGGTCTTATTTTAATCCAGTAATAGATTGTTCTGACAATTACCTATCCTAAGAAAGCAATCAAAACAGTAGTAAATATCGATAGCTAAAACAATCTATGGACAGTAAGTCTATGAGATAAGTTCCTTAAACATTCTTGGATAGCTCTAAAAAGGTGAAAATTAAATGGTACGTCTATCTGCAAATAATCAGGTTTAAAAGAATTTTCACTGCAGTGGTTCTATTTATCAAAAATAGATATTATTCCCAGTTCTTCATATTTAAACTTCCTTTTAAAATCCCCATAGTGCCAAATAGAACATAATGATATACTGTAATAATAATACTAATGAGGCTTTGGCACATTAGCCTTAGCACAACCCCTCTGGGGTGATGCTGATATAACAAGCCGATATGAAGTAAAATTAATATAGTCTAGTGATGTGTAGAATTGTTTATAAATAGTAGTTTCTGTAATATATGAAATACATATGTGAATAAAATAATAAAGTACATTAGGCAAGGCCTGACTGGTTAAATACAAAAAAAATAACAATACAGTTTAAACTAATAAATTATTTGGGTTGATATGCAACAAAACTATACTTTGAAGAATTTTAACAAATATTGAAGTTTTTAATGAATTATACTCTCAAGAATATTCTTTATCTGTAATAAAAGTTTGAATATATATTCAGATATTATAATTTGGTACAATCTTATATACAATTTTTTAATTTTATATAGCTTGATATATAAATTTAAATTAATAATTGTCAATATCTCCAAATAAGAATTTTGTCTCAGAGTATGATTTTGCTGTATACCAACCCAATTGATATTATTTTTTAATTATTCTTATAAAATCTATTTATATTTCTTTAAAATAAAATAAATTATTAGAAAAACATTAGTTTTCTAAAACGTAATTATTTTTTTTTTCTTATATAAGATTTTTTTATCAAAAATATACTTATAATGATAGTAGGATAATATATATAATGATATATTTTAATATTTTAATATTAATTATATAACTTTATTTCAATTACTCTATTAATAAAGATCATAAAAATATTTTACTTAATATAAAAAAAAACTAATAAATAAAAAATAAAAATAAAAATTTTTTTAAACAATAAATACAAATTTTTTCTTTTATATAAAATATTTCTTATATAAAAATATTAATATTGTTTTTAATTATTTTTGTATTTTTACACTATATAATAATTAAATTTTTAAATAGTTGAAATATTGTTTTATTAGAATATACAATTTCTTTTTTAATTATAACAAAAATATTTTTTTAATTAATTAATATGAATTTTTATAAGCAATAATAAGTATATAAAGATTTTAAAATCATTTTATTTTTATAATTTAAGCTTATTAAATATTTTAAAATTGTTATAAGATATTTTGAAATTTGTATTAACAATTTAATTATTAAAATGTTTATAGAAAATCTTGGATAATAATATAAACATTAGTAAATTATTTTTGATTTATACGTAATAATTTTTAGATTATATTTAGATTGATTTTTTTAAATTTAAAATTGCAATAAATAAGATAATATACTGTATTTTATTTGTAAAAATAAAAATATTTTTTTCACAATATGATTTACTGTTAGATATAATTTTTCACAAAATATAATATATAGTATATATATTTGTCAAAATCAATATTTGATCAACCATATCGTAGTGCGATCTATAGAACATAATCCCACATTCTACGATTACTTTATTAAATTCGAAAAAGGATCATTGTGTATAGTTTAATCACAAATAAAAATAACACGGATTTCATAGTTAACATTTCTTTACTTATACAATACCATTCTCCAAGTGCAAAATTGAACAGAAGTACCTTTTGATAGCTATGCTCATCAATAAATGATATCTTTAAACATTCAATTTGTCGTCCGAAAACATTGTACAAGATATACCTTGAACATTTAATGTACATACGTAACATACATTAATCTACTTGAATATCTCTTTATTTGGGGAAAAAATCCCTTCGAGAAATTCAACAGTTGTAGTTTTGAAAATTGTCTTAACTGTTTCATTGCAAACATAAAAATGAAATATGTTATGCATAACCCTCTAGCACCACAAAGTGCTGGATGTTTGACTTCAACAAAGGAATGTTGGTTTTATCTTTTACTAATCGAGTAGTTAAAAAAGGCAATGACCAGTAGTAAAGTCCATCGTACGCGTATGATTCTGTCAAATTTGCTGAAGGTATAGTTTAATATACTTAATTAATTGGATTGAAACCAAGCCTTATCAATTAGAAATTCACGTGTCTTGATTTGCTAACAATACCGCTTCTTCTGGACTACCTTTCATTTTTAACAAAGGAAAAGGTATTGGAATAATTTTCAAAGTATAATAATTCAGCAACCGTGAATGAAATGTACTTGCTTTGCCTACATCTGTTTTGTAAGAGTTTGACGATCATTCATATAATAGTAAATAAGAGATAACACATGAAATGGCATCAAACCTTCACTCCGCTCATAAATTCCTTTCCAGAAGATCTTCAAACTTTTGTCTGTACATTGATTTTCACCTACATAAAATAAGAAATCGTTAATTCTGACATTTTCACATTGCAAGCGGACAGTTTAAATTTAGGCAATGAAAATTTAAGTCAAAATAGTAAGGTTTGGAATTACAACCAATACATAAACGACAATAGACAAGAGCTACCATTACTATCACTCGAGATGGAATGACAGCCAATACCTCCTAGTCTAGGCAACAATAGACAGGAGCCCCATATTATAAAAGAGTCCATAACTTTCTTTTCTATGGCCTCAGCCATATTATTTCGGTCTTTTTGGTTTGTTCAGAAATCTACGAGCCAACGAAGACCATTTTCCAAAATAGGCTGTGAGGAAAGAATGACACTAAAAATAGTTCCAAATCACATGATATAAATACAGGTTTCGATTTCAGGAGTAATAGATCCTTGCATTCAAAGCATAACTTTATGAAAATTTTTAGACCCACTACTTCTGAGGTTGTTTATTTTTTATACTACTGCCGGATTAATTATTTAAATCTTTGTAATAAACCCTCCGGGGTAATATAAGTATTCAGAAACTTCACTCAAAATCATAAGCTCATCTGCACGAGGAACTCCCAGCCAACTGAAACTCTGCCAAGCGAGAATAACATCTCAAACCCAGGTTAACAATGGACTCCACAGACGAGTTGTATCAAACTGTTGTAGATTGTGGCATAAAATTTATACCCATAGAAGAATTTAGTGGAAAGAAAACGATTGGTACAGGCGGTTTTGGTGTTATATACTCAGCAACTTGGACAAATACTTCTGAAATGGTAGCATTAAAAAGATTATCTATTGGAATAAAAAATAGCATCGAGAATTTTCTTAAAGAGGTTATTTTCAAACGCTTTATTTATAAGTTATGAGCAATCGTATGATAAGATCAAAAGCCTAATTTTTATTATCTTTATAGTTAAAACTACATAGTAGCACAAGGCATGATAGAATCGTTAAATTTCTTGGAGTAAGCCGAGGTTAGCATTTGTTTCATTTTTTTTTTTATTTTAAAAATACGTTGTATTATTGTATGTTTATTTGATTTCATATAATAAGATGAAGATAATACATCGTATTATTATATTGTAATGGAACTTGCGACCGAAGGAAATTTAAGAAATTATCTGTCCGAGAATAAAATAGTTCTTGAGTGGGAAGAAAAAGTAAGACTTGCAACTCAAATAGCCGAAGGAATATTATACCTTCATGATGAGCTCAATATCATACACCGAGACTTGGTAACGTGATATCATAACTTATGCGTCAATTATCTTCACAATAATATTAATTCTACCTTTTTTGTTCATTTAGCACACTAAAAATATTCTCGTGTGCAAAGGCAATATTAAAATATCAGACTTTGGATTATCGAAGCGTCTTGGCAGTACTACGACAATTAACGGCAAACGGGTTGGAGTTTTAGCATTTATGGACCCACAAAAATTCATTAATATTAATTATAAATTGGATAGAAAATCAGACGTATATAGTATGGGCGTAATATTTTGGGAAATTTCTAGTTGCCGTGATCCATTTGATGAAATTTCAGATCATATTCTACTTCCATGTTACATTGTATCCAATGATCTTAGAGAAGAGCCTATTTCGGGGACACCTCAGGAATATGTTGAACTTTATTCTGATTGTTGGAAAAAGGACCCCATTCTTCGTCCAGAATCAAATATGGTCCTAAATCGTTTGCGAAGAATAAAATTAACACCGACTTTTGTACGTTCAAAAAGATCAACTTCTGGTAAAGTATTTGCGTATTATGTTTAATTTAGTTTAATTAAAGTTCAAATTTATTAAAAATCTTTTATACTTAGATCCTAATTGGTCAGAAACAGAAATAATAGTTCTTGGATCTTCTAATAGATCTATCACTGGTAAATATTTGCAAATTGTCTTTAATTAGTGTTTTAGAAGCTCGATTGTACTAAAGTATCTTATACTTAGGTCGCCACATTTCCGATTATTTAAAGACCCGGCTAGATGGTTATTTTCATAGACTTATAATTAATCTGTACATAATTTATTATTTTGGATTTGTAGTTTTTCAAAAATTCCTTTTATCGGCTTTGTCAGTTTCCGAAACGTACTGTAAAAGTCACGTGGAATGTTTTGAACAGGGGGCACATCATCTTGTGCTAATCCTATTTGATTCATCACGTGAGCATTGTATTACTTTTTTTTTTTTTTTTCGTACACAAAAGATAATGCCCTAGAATATACTTTTTCGTACATAAAAAAAACAATGAACAATGAAACAATGAAATGTTACACGAAAACTTTAATTCGATTACTGTAATACTATATACTGTAAAATATAAATATTCTAAAATTTAATTTTAACAAGCAAATACTAGTTTCGTTATCCTCTTGTAAGAGAAGACAATCTTATAGTCCATAAAGAAGTTGATCTCTTTTGTTTGCCGCCAAATGACATTCAAAAAAAAAAAAAAAAAAAAAATTGTAGAGAATTGCATTTTCTCAACAAAATAAATGAGAGCTGTTTAATCGTTAGGATTGAGCAATCTAAAAGTCAATTGCATGGCGAACGGAGTTGAGCTGTTAAATAAAGTATTTCTAATAATTGAATCAAATATAATCGCTACCTTTAAATAGTCAAAAAAATTTTTATAACCTAATGCATTTCTCAATAACTTCATGCACAAAGGTGATAATAAATATTATAAGGAGTAGGTCGACCGTAGGTTACGCGAATTTTCTTAAAGTTATTTCACACGAATGAATTCATAAGCATTGATGGATAATTTGTCCGAAGGACATACTGTATACGGTTTGTCCGCTCGAGTCAATAGTTTGGTATGATTTACTCGAAGGCATATACGGTTATAGTATGTCCGCACGCGTGACTAGATTATGACTTTGCATATTTCATTTTAAATATACAGTACTATTAGAAAGTTTAAATATACTCTATATTTTTTCACTCTTAATTGAATTTACTGTTCCTTTTAAATTTACTTATAAAACTTATGATATGGACGTTCGTCCTCTTAGAAATACTTTTCAAGAACATAAAAGTAGAGAAAATAAGTCTTCTGATCCATGTGCACTTCATCAGAACCATGAAAGTGAAAGAAAACGAGTGAAAAGGGCTCCTGAGACTGCCTAACAACATAAGGAATGGTTAAGAAAGCTCATGAACAAAAGTGGTGTGTTTTATTTGATAGGCACATATAAATCATTTACCTTCCCAAATTTGACTTCAAACTTCTAGCCGATTTCGCTCCAAGATTGATGATAAACTTGCTAATAATTTGTCACATATGCAGTGAATGTTTTCCCTCCATTGAACTTGTAAAAGGTGAATGTTATCGCTTTTATTCGAAAAAAAATTATTTAAAGACATTCTCGGCAAAGAATAATATGGATCCGGGTGAAGTACCTGAGGAATTAAAAGATCTTATTCAAATAGAAAAAATGCTGATTGCGCAAATCTTTCCAATCGTCTCCGTCTATTGTCTCTCTATGGTCAATATTCATATCGTGGCGATGTAATCAATTTTCCTCGGGACTTGTATGTTCTTGTCATTAGTCATTACTCTCCAATTAATAAAGCATTCAAAAATTTTAACATGCGTCATTCTATAGTATCTCGTGCTCTTTTCTGGTTTGAAAAATAGTAATCATTATTATTCTATATTACCATTGATGAAGGTGTTTTGAGATATTACCTGAAAATGACCCACTTGATGATAAAATTCTAGAGTTGAAGATAAAGAAATCGATGAAGATTCTAATGCATTTGATGATTCCGTGATCAGTAATTTTGTTCCTATTCTGTTTCTAAGCCCTGATAAAGGAAGAGTCATTATCAAAATACTTGATCAAATTCGTTCCGATGGTGAAACAACCATATGGCCAAATATAGATGATGTTCTCGTAAATGAATTTTAATCATCAGGTTACTGTATATTGCTTGTGCCTTTCCAACATTATATTCTACTGGTGCTTTGTTCAGAATGTGCTAGAGACGTTAAACTAGCTAAGTATTTTTTGCACTTACTTAAATATAAAGATGGTCAATTTGTTTAATATACTTGTTGATCCTACTTTTATTTACAAGTTTAAAGCAAGGTAAAGCTTATATAAAGCAAAATTTAGATGCCTAATAATGTACTGTTGAAATTTTACAAAATATACTTGAAATAATATCCATATGGCAAATAATATTGTCTAAATTGAAAACTTAATTAATAATCTTATATCATTGCTTGATTTTTTAAAAAATATTAATGCCTAAATAAAATATAAAAAATTGATGATTTCATTTCAAATAGAAACTTTTATATACATGATATTGTAAAATAAAAAGATGCTTTTGATATTGATTGAAATAATAAATAAAATATAAATAATATTATATAATATTTAAATTCTTTAATTCTTATTATTAGGTATAATCTTAATATATTATTTTCAAATTATTATTCTTATTAAAAATGTTCTAATAAGTTTAATTATATTTTATAAGATTATATTAATTTAGTTAAAAAGTTTCAATGTTATATAAAAGACAATTTCTATTGTTATTATACAAATAATATATATCAGGAAATTTTTTAAAAAAAATTTTTGGAAATCTTTGCTTTTAAAGAAAACTTTTAAATTCTTTGCATTAAAATAATTCAAAGATTTTTGAAGTAAATATAATATATAATTTTTGAATATTATTTTAAAATATTTCAAAAAATATTATTTATTTGCCAAATTTGATTTTGATTTTTTTTAATATAATATTTTTTTTTACATTTGATAAATCTTTTGTAACACTTCAAACTTTATAATTTTTTTATTAAATTAAAAATTTTTTTAATAATTAATAGAAATAGTTATAAAAATTTTTATATAATAAATAAATTAAATATAATTTTAATTTGTTTTATTTATTTTTATTAAATAATTATAAAAATATTTGTATTCAAGATTTTTTAGAAATATTTTTTATACTTTATTAAAAATATTTATTTTTTGACTATTCTATTATTAAAACTTAACAAATTGCTACAAAGCTATTATTAAATAATTATAATATTTATAAGAAAATTTTTTTAATTCAGTTATAACAGCAATAATAATTTATTATCAAATCTTCCTAATTAAATAAAAAATTTTAAATTTTAAATTCTATTAAATTATTATTCAATTATTACAAAATCATAATAATTTAATTATCAAATCTTCCTAATTAAATAAAAAATTTTAAATTTTAAATTCTATTAAATTATTATCAAATCATTACAAAATCATAATAATTTAATTATAATTATATATTGATTTATTTTCAGAATTATTATATAATAATAATTAAACAAATAATATAATTATAATTAAGTATTAGACCTCTGGGTCTATAGCGCAGTGGTTAGTGCTCCAGAGGTCATATCACAAGATCAGAGTTCAATTCCTCCAAGAGG